GGTTCAGAATAAGGTGAACAGGATATGCTGTGGGTCAGATGGGAGAGTAAGGGGAAGACGAACATCAAGGATAAGGCCCAGGTTTTCATTGTGAGCAACAGAGTGGATGGTGGGGCCAAGTTTTACTGAGGTAAAGCATTCCCTTTACACATGTTAAATAGAAATTACTGTTGGACATGAAGTGGAGGTGTAAGGTAGGCTAGTAGATTGATGAGCCGTAGGTTGGGCAGCAGGTGCAAGATACAGGTTTGGGAGTCATATATGGGTGGTATTTAAAACTGCCATTAGATGAAATGACTTAAACAGAGTGAGTCTATAGAGAAGAAAGGGTTACCCAGGTTGGAGCCCTGGAGTTCCCAGGGCTGGGGTTTTGCAGTGCCACAGAATTGGGGAAGGTATTTGAGGTAGGAGGGGAGGGAGTCGTGGATTGTGTCATGAGCTGGAGAGATGCTCCCCTCGGCAGATCTCTCAGTCTGTAATGACATGAATTAGCCTTGTTCAGACTGTTGGTCTTGTGCCTAGTAACTAGATCTTTCTGAAAACCGGGTTCCCTGCCATGTTTGTCTTGGTCAGATGAGCTACTTCAAGAACAACGTGCAGACATGGACCAGTTCACGTCCTCTATCTCAGAGACCCCTGTGGACGTCCGGGTGAGCTCTGAAGAGAGTGATGAGATCCCACCATTCCACCCATTCCATCCCTTCCCGTCCTTACCTGAGAATGAAGGTGTGTATGAACGACAGTACAACTTCTTGGCAGTGGGGGGTAAGTGGGGAGAAGAATGCAATTAGAAAACTGAAGTCAGATATTTGAACCTGCGTTGTGTCGGGGAGGCCATGTTCCTCATGAAGGCCAGGCAGAGAAAGGGAGACTCAATTCGCTGAGCACCTACTCTGTGCAGGCACCTTGTTGGGTGCTTTCAGATAGTTGGTTTCAGTATCACCATGAGGTTAATAATATTTCTCCCATTTTATAGATGGTTTGCTTAAAAATCACTGATTTTCCTGGTCCCATCAGCTGCCTCCAGTGTGTGTAATGCCTTACATGTGAAAGTCATTTTGCAGTTTAAATAGCACTTTCATATTATATTATGTCATTATCTTTTCATAACAACCTTGGGAGGTAGGTAATGGAGAGGCTACAGGGGTGACATGACTTCCTCAAGGTGACACCTCTGGTATATGAGGTGGGGATAAGAAGCCATTTCTTCTCCCAGCCAGGCATGCTTTCTTTTAGTCCCTTGCTCGTTCTTGATGTCTGGAGGGATCTGTAAAAGCTTCTGCACCAGATACAAACAAGCTGCTGAGACCGGTGCCCTGAGACCAGGGTGTGGAATCAGATTCTATTTATTTGTCTACTGCTGTTGCTGCTGATGGTGGGGATGGAAGAAATAGTGGCCACAGCTATGCCAGCTTTAGCTAAGCATCGTTCATGGATGCTCTCATTTAATCCTCTACTGGAGTATTCCTATTTGGGGGTTCCCAGATGTAAAGAGGTGAAGTGTCTGCCCACAGTCATGTAGCCTATAGGTGGAGAGTAAGGGTTTGAACACAAGCTGATTTCATCCTGCAGTCCTAGGTAGTCCCTCACCACTGAGCAGATAGAGTAGTGCTGGACGGAGGCCTGAGAAAGGCACCGGGTGGGGAGGAGGGGGCAGCCAGCTTAGGCTTCAGACCTTTACTGCCTTCTAAACTATTGGGTTGTCGAAAAAGTCATGACGTGTTTTTTCTACGTTTTTCGTTGCAAAAATGCGTCATGACTTTCCCGACTACCCAATAGGTCTCTCAGACATACCAACTCAGTACAGTTGCCCCTGCAATAATATAACAGAATCTGAGAAAGGAGCTGGATAAACAAAGAGGCACCGCGGTGTTCCTAAAACCTGCTCTTCCGTGGGGGCTGTACAGTCAGTGGCGCGCCCACACAGCTTATTTGGGGCGGGGGCATTTGGACCTATCTGAACTAGGACTTGTCTCCTTTTCAGAAAATCACAGTCGATACTAACTTCTGGTTTGGTTGTTTTCTAAGAAAAAGAACTTTGTGTGCTAAGTTTAATAATTTGGGAATCTCACAAAACTTCCCCCAAAAGACCCAAGATGGACCTACTTCTTTCTCTCCTACCTTCCAGTCATTTGCTGTAGTTCTTACTGCTGGCTTGTTTATGGAATATTTCAGGCATGGTTTTCATGGAAGAATACTTTGTGTTCACATTATGGAGAAATTCTAAGATAGGACATTTGAAAGAAGCCATTTTCTTCCTTAATCTCCTTTTGTGCTATTTTGTTTTTATTGTTTTCCTTTCCGCTAGACACCCAGCCGGAGTTGTACCACCCAATGAAAAAAGGTTGGTTTGTCAGAGATGTTCCCTTAAAGACCGTCATTCCTGTCACTTCCCTAGTGTGTCAGAAGTCTCATGTTCTGTTTCATAACATCACCGATTTTTCCACCTCATTTCTTCAGACATGGCTGTGTGTGGAGCCCTATCTTCAGCTCCTCACATCCAATGTCCGTGGTATTGGTTACATAGTGGCCATCCTGAGTTTTCCTTCTGGGTGTCCAGAAAATACCAGAGTAACCAAAATAGATTTTTCATAAATTCTTTTAACTTGGGTAGACTTTTAAAAGTATATCCAATTTAAACAGGTTGGTTGAAAATTGCTAGTATATAAACAAATATGCTTAATTTACAGTCAGGTAGAGAGTCATTTTCTTTTGCTTCTTTTTTTCTCTGCTGCTTCCACTTACATCTTTTCCCTTTTTAGCTGTCCCTTGCCCTTTGTCTGTGCCCAGCTGTCTGTTGCCAGTTGTCTCATGTCCCCTGAATTACAGCATTAATCAAAGCATATTAGATGATGGATGAAACAGGTGGAGACAATTGAACTCTTGGTGTAGTGAGTCTCCAATTTTCAGAAAAATTTAACATTATGTAAGCACTGTGCTGAATGTTTTGTATACTTGATCTCATTTAATCCTGATACTACTACTGTAGGTAGTATTTTTAGCTCTCCTATAGATTGAGCAGGTGAAGAAGTCTTACAGATTACAGGATTTGCTTCAAGTCATGAGTTTAAGAGGTGGAGGAACCAGAATTTGAACCCAGCTCCGTCTGTCTTTAAAGCCCATGCTGTTTCTGTTACATAAAATGCCATTGTTGGCTGCTGAATTTCCCCAGGTTGTTGGATAGTCCACAATTGCTAGAGTCACTGAGTCAGGTGAAATGTTTTGTGTCCTTAGTGTGTATGCTACGAGCCTGCTCTTTTGGCTTTGGCAGATGGATTGTGGATGGACTGTGTACGGTTCCCTGGGTGAGAATGTGGTGGTGGTTCATGCCACAGCTTGTTCTCAGAACGTAAGAATGCGATTTAAATCTTCTAAAAATCGCTTCTATGTAAATGCTTTATTTTATTCTCCTGGGATATGCCTCTTCATTAGTGTGTTAACATGCCTCTGAACAACACATCTTAAGATGTTTTTAGATCAACATGAATTTTCTAGAAGGTTAACTGGCTTTCGCCCTCATACATCAACTATTATTAGTTAGAATAATTTAAATATTAACTTTGGTCTCTTAAAGGTGCTTGTTTATGCATTTTAGAAAACCAAAATGATTTTGGTCAGTATTTGAGAAACACGTGGGTTATACTACCAAAAAAGTATTTGACTAGCTTAGACTAAGTAGGACTTTAAATTAGTGGGCTCAGTGCCATATTATTTTTCAAGTAGGATCCTGCCCTTGTGACCTTTATAATTTGAGGAAGAGATCCTGAGAAAAAGTGATGGACAGAGCTCAGAATTGATGGACAGAGCTCAGAATTAGAGTTAATTGGGCTTGAGCATGAGCATCCCTGCTGAGACAGCACCGTTCCCCTTTTTCAAACAGTTCAAGTGCAGTGTTGCTGTTTCATTGTCATTTTGATACTACAAAAGCCAGCCCTGGTTTAACTTACCCTAGAATTAAATGGTGAAATTATTCTTTAAAATGAAAGTTTTAGAAAAAATTGCACCATTTTTGGCCGCATTTTAATGAGTTACTATTGCATTAGCTGGCCTGCAAGTTCAACTGCAGTAGCTGTTATGAATTGCTCCGTCATGAACGAGCCTAGTTGTGAGCTGGGAAGCTTTGTGTGCCTGGCCCAGTGTTGTCGCCTGCCTTTGGCAAGCACAGGGACAGCAGTACTTTGCATATACTCTTGTTTGAATGTTACGCACTTGCAGGTGGTCACCTTAGAATGCCGAGTATGCTGTCAGGTTGAGCTATTTATAAAGGTATTAATCATAGATGTTTATATAGACCTGTATATGTTATTATTAATAAGAAACTCATAGGATAGCTAGAAATCACATGCTTTGGAGCTAAAAATAAAGAGGATTGCTCCTCACTTTTCCTCTTGCTGGCTTTAGTCACACTGCACCTTTAGACACTGTCATTTGGAATGCCACGCACAAGTGACGTTGGCTCAGGCCATGTCTGACCTTGACAAGAAGAGTGTTGCTATTCTCGCTCTATTTATAGAAAGGTACCTTCCACCCTGGTGTTAGGATTCTGCCTGTTTATGAAATGCCTCCTTCCTGTTTATTTGCTAATAACCATCAAGGATGTGACTGTCTATAATCTTGGCCCTGAGAGGATCACAGGAGAAAATCAATAATTACAGAGATTTTAAGTGCTATATAACCTGGAATTATCTCCCAAGAGGAGATACAGCTTGAAGGACAAATAGAAAGGTTTTAAGGTCAGGGAGGGTATTTCAGGCAGAAAGAATTGCCTGTGGGATACAATATGATGCTAGAGGCAAACATGCAAATTCATTTCTGGTATGACAAATGTTCCATTCAGAGGGAACCCTAGGTGTTGAAGGAGCAAGTTGTGGGATAATAGTAGGAGGTGCTTGGTAATGTCACATAGGGCGTTCCATGTGTTCCATGCAAGAATGCCTTTGGACTCAGCTTCTGTTTCTCTTACAGTAAACAATCTCTTCTAAAGGCTTGTATTCCATCTTTTCAAGTTGGATACAAGTAAGCACTCTCTCTTCATTATTCCCATTGGCTCTCTGAAAATTGCCTGTTTCATTCATCCTTATAGAGCACAGTGTGTCCTCAAAAATGGGAACCAAGTAGCTTATCGAGCCACAAGGGGAGGCATTCAGCGGGGGCTCCCTGCCCTCAGGAGGGTGTTGGCTGCTTCTGTGAGAAGCAGGAGCTCAGCCCGTCCTGGGAAACTCAGCTGTGATCTCTCTCCACACAGGCTCTGGAGTAGGTGAGCAGGATGGAGGACTGATAGGTGCTGAGGAAAAAGTGATTAACAGTAAGAATAAAGTGGATGAAAATATGGTGAGCCATTTCTCTCTTCTGCCCTGCCCTATTTTAATTCTGAGAATAATTAAAGTAAATGATATTGTTTTAGATTCTTTCCAGATAAAGCACCATGTGTTTGTTTTCTATATGGTAGAAAACGGGTGGGCCCAGCTGCTTCCACGGGTTTGCTGTATTGTTTAGTGTCTGGGTATGAGAAGGAATAAAGAATTATTTTTCAGTAGCTCATTCCCTTGCTATACCGTGGGAAAATAAATTTGCAACTGAAGAGATGACTAAAATATCAGAGGCCATTTTCAAGTGAGTAGAGATTTCATAATGAAAATGGAGTAGAGCTAGGTTTGGGCCTTATACTACTGCCTTAGGTTTATACCGCCCATTAATTATTCTTCTAGCATTTTCTGTTTTTTATACTTCTGGATTATCCTTAACTGAGTTTGATATTTCAACCTGGAAATCTGTCCTGAGAGATCTCTCCACAACAGTTTTCTAAGGGAAAATGAAGGTGAAGGCCCTTGAAGGAACAACTTCTGTATAATAACCTTGCAGTCACACTTGGTCCTTCATGTAGGGGGTTGGTGAATGGATTTAGATGAATGTGACAGAACTGATTGGTTAGTGCATTGCCATCAGATATCATCTGCTTCCCTCTTCCAAATAGTAAATGGAGTAATACTTACACAAAATTTCCCCTTTTTCCCAGATACTGACATTCTCATACTGTTTCAGGTCATTGATGAGACGCTGGATGTTAAGGAAATGATTTTCAATTCTGAGAGAGTTGGAGGCCTTGAGGAAGAGCCGGTATGTGTTTAGCTCCAGAACCTAACGCCAGGTTTTATGTCCATCTCAGCTGTTCCTCTTTCCTGCCTTCTCATTCAAGTAGAAAACGGGACAGATGCTTGGTGTCTTAGGTTATCAAGGGCCCT